GGGAGAGGGGAGCCCTTCAACTCTGGCCCCTGGATCCTGTGTGTCCAGGAGCTCAGAGAACCAGGTCTCCCAACTCCCCCAGCACTCCCAGGTCAGAAGTGGGGATCCTCAGCTCAGGGCACTACCCCTTCCCCACCATATCCTGGAAGATGGGGCCAAAGATCAGGAATCTGGAGGCTGGGCCCCAGCCAGAGCTGAAGATGGAGAGACATCAGCCATGGATGGTGGGGCCCTGTAGGGAGGGTAACTCGATCCTAGGACCCAAGATTGCAGGTTGGTGAGGGAGGGAATAGGTGTCCAGGGTCCTTTCTCATCCTTGCTCAGGGACCCACACATCCTGGGAAGTTCTGCCATGCGGTGCACTCACTGTGGTTCCTGAGACCAGCAGGGTGAGCATTGCGCCCCACAAAAGGGCTCTGCCTTGGGACTAATATGAGCAGGGGGCACCTTCTCCTGGCCCAGCGCTGAAGGACAGTACTTGGCATCAGGCAGCGGCACCATAGCAGGCACACCATGGCCATGGCCCAGCACGTGTGACCTGCGGAGCATTTCCATGTGAGATCTCACCACATTCGGACCACTAGCCCTGCTGGGTAGGCACCATGGTGACCCTTTACTGGGACTGGGACTTCACTTCCTGACTGGGATACCTGAAGTCCCTCTCAGTAGCCGCTGCAACTTACCCATCGCTTGTAAAAAGGCTCATGGGAGGATATTTTGGGATCTGTGTGTTTTCTTTCTTTTTCTGTTGGGTGGGACAACTTGCAGGAGCCAGCTCCCCCTATGCCTTGCCACCTTCTTCTGCTCCCCAAAGGGTCTCCCAGGTCCCCCTTACCTAACATGGCCTAAAAGGCTCCCCCAGAATCCCCCAAGTATTGCAGAGGGAGGGCCTCCACTTATCTACCAACCCCTTCAGGAAATGGAGGTCTAATGAGCTAAAAACATTAGGTGATTTTGGCACTCCCAGAGTCCCCCAAAATCAAGTGAAGTCCAAAGGATGTTCCTAATAATTTAGGGGAACTCCTTGGTGAATCTGGGGGAACATCACCCAGAAAGACACACCCATTCTGGGACATCCAAGCCTTGGCCAGAGTTTCAGAGGGGCTCTTGGTTCTTGAGTAATCTCAGAGAACCCCAGAACCCCAGCTTTAGGCTCAGTGGATGTGAGGTCCCTTGTTCCCAGGGCAAGCAGTCTTTAGAAAGTGACTATCCCTGGTTCCTGTAAAAATAGGAAAGCAGGACACTTAGTCCTCCCATGCGCGTCTGTGTATTATTTCATGCTTCTCAAGGGCAAGGCCAAGCTGGTAGCCTACTAAGAGGAGGCCACCACCCTCCCTAGATGGCACCAACTTAGTCCCTGCCCTTCCTGGCTGGGTGACCTTGGCAAGGTGCTGAACCTCACTGAGCCTTATCTCTCCTGTAAAATGGGGGCAGGAGCATCGCAGGCCTCACTGATGGGCAATAGGGACTGGAACACTGAGATCCTGGCAAAGGGCTTGGCCCCCAGTAGCAACAGGTACATGTGAACATGACAGACGCCCTCCCCAAAGCCACCTGTCTCCCTCCACACCTTTATCCCCTCCCTGTCCAGGGCACCTTAGGACACGGCTGCCAGGCGAGGAGGAACAGTAGCATGGCGGACACACGGCTGAATTTGGCCCAGGCATCGGGCAGGCGGCTGAGTCACCTCCCCAAATTGCATCTTCATCGGTGCTCGAGTTTCCGAAGGTCGTTTTGCAACGCCCCACCCCTCCAGTCCTTTGCCCAGCCCTCCTGTTCCCCCAGCCTATGATCCGCTGTGGGGACCTCCTGAACTCTCAAGAGGGCCAGGGAAGGGGCCCCAGGTGGGGCAGGGTCTGAGGACGCCACTTGCATCCTTGCAGAAGCACCCAGCCCCGCCTGCCTCTGGTGGCACTTCAGGTGGCAGCATGGGCTCTCTCTCCAGGGGAGAGTGGCACCCACGCCACTCTGTGTGTTTGTCAGGAAAGAGAGAGAGACCAGGCCAAGGTCCACCTCATAAACTGGTTGATGTGATATCTGGGAGAGGTGGGAAACACATGTTTGAGACTCATGAGCTCACTGGGCCATGAAAGGCACTTCGTGCCCGCACTGGCACTTGGGGATATGTGAGTGTGATTAATTCAGGCTGGGGGCCTGTGGATGAGAGTACCAGAGCCCTGTGGTGCAGCGGACACACCAGCCAGGCCCACTCTCTGCCAGCATAGCTCCTCCGGCTGTGTCCTGAGGTGGCAGTTTCTGTCTGCCACCTGCAGATCATGGTTTCAGGGTTGGGGAATGTTCTGTCTTTGCATACAGCCCCCCTCCTGTGGGCCTGGCATGTGAGCATCCCCGTGCCTCCCAGTCTGGTCTGTTTAGAGGGGTGGTACTTGGCCCATGGCTGCCACCGCCTGGCTTATTGGGAAAGTCCCGAGACACAGCCTAGCCTGAAGCCTTCCCTGCAAGGAGATGATCCCTGCACACAAGGTGCCTTTGTGTCCTCAGTGTGAAGCCAGTTAAATCCCAGGACCCCCTTCTTGGGCTCCTGGAGATTAAGGAGAATATCTGTGTGAAGGATGGAGTCTGACACAGTAGATCTTTAATAAAAGTTGCCTGGGGTTGACCGCAGAGGCTACATAGGAGGTGACATAGCAGGCTGGGCCTTGGGAGGCCAGACAGGGCAGGGGAGTTTCTGGCAAATCAGGACCCAGGAGAATGGGTGCTAGACACCCTCGTCAGATGAGTGTCACCATGGATGGCACGGCGAGGAGCCATCGGAGTTCTTGCGCTCACTCCGTGTCACGGGGCGCTGCCTTGCGCAGGGGCAGCATCCAGGATGTCTGCTTCTCCATAACTCGGCAGCGAGTCTGAGGCTGGCCGAGGTCACAGACTGGGTCTAACCCTACAGAACCAATTCTGGGGCCCTACAATTAAATCATGATCACCACGCTGGACTCCTCCCAACCCCCAGTGGGAAAGTGCAGGTCTCTATAGCACAGCCTTGGTCCCTGATGTCCCCCATGCTACGCCTTGCGCCTGCCTTAGTATGTTCAGGAGAAACAGAAGCCTCAGTAGAATGAAGCTGACTTTGCTAGGACCTGACGGTCAGGAGATGAGAGCCACCTCCTGATCTTTCTCTAATCTTCCCAGACATGTCTAGCAGACCCTCCTCAGGCACTCAGGAGTGTTTGTTAAGCGCAGGTTGCGTGCTTGGCATTGCTCTAGGTACTTGGAGACAAGTAAAATCAGTGAGGAAAGGTGCAGTAGGAGGGTATTCCAGGCAGAGAGCACAGCGCGTGCAAAGGCCCTGGGGCAGGACTAAGCATGCTGGGATTTGGCTGGGAGGCCATTGTGACTGAAAGGGACAATGGTGGGAACTGGACTGAGGGCCTCCTCTCTGTGGTGAGGAGTTTGACATTTGTGCAGAGGCACTGAGGAACCATGAGAGACTTGAGCAGGGGAGGGACGAGGCTGTCTTGGATGTTTCTGGAACAGTAAACTCAGGTATCAGCCACTCTGTGTTCATGGCCTCCCAAGCCTCAGGATGTTTTGGGTGGTGGCAATGGTCCCTATCTCTCTGCTCAGTCAGGGAGGCCCTTCTGTAACTCTGCTGCTCTCTACCCCTGCAGGTCAGCAAGGGAGCCCCGCCGCTGAGCCATGCCGGGCCCCAGGTGGCCTGCAGCAAGCCCAACCCCGGCACCCACATAATCATGAACAGCCACAGCCACAGCCACAATGGCTGCGGGGGACGGCCGCTGGGCAGTGGGCCTGGGGCCCTGGGCCGTGACCCACTGGACCCGGAGGCGGGCCGCCCCCCGCAGCCTCCACATGGCCCTGGCCTCCAGGTGGTGGTAGCCAAGAGTGAACCAGCCCAAATGGCAGCCAGCAGCCCCCCAGGGCACCTCCAGGACCAGGAGGAAGAGGAGGATGAGGAAGAGGAGGAGGAGGATGACGAGGATGAGGCAGGTGGACAGAGGGGCTCAGGGAAGTCTCCAAATGTGGGCCACCGCCTGGGCCACCGGCGGGTGCTCTTTGAGAAGCGGAAGAGGCTCAGTGACTACGCCCTCATCTTTGGCATGTTCGGCATTGTTGTCATGGTGACCGAGACGGAGCTGTCCTGGGGTGTCTACACCAAGGTGGGCACCTGCGAGCCCCACTGGGCTGATCTGTAGATTGCTGCTGTCCCTCAGGAATGGGTTCAGGGGCCAAATGTTGGAAGGTCCAAAGAGGAGGGGGGAGGGCTGGGGAAGGGCCTTAGAGGTAGAACGATTAGGGGGTCTTGGCACCTGCAGAGCTTATCTCCTGAAGGTGGTGGAGGGGTTTGGGGGGGGCAGGGCCTCCAGGCTATTACCTCTGCCGGGTACCCTGACTGAAGGTGGGGAGGAAGCCCCCAGGGACAGGCAGGATAGGGTGACCTGTCCAAGCCAAGAGAAGGCTTGGGTTGTGGATCCCATCAAGCCACACAAGTATATATGAGGACAGAGCGGTCAGGGCTATGCAGTCTGTAAACTGTGAAGTGCTGTGCCCACAAGAGACCAGGCTTGTAAACAGAAGCTTGTCACCCAAACCCATGGAACAAGGAAAGGAGATTGCCTACTGAGTGAGGTACCAGGTGGGGGACCAAGAAGCCCCTTCCATCTGTCTCTTTGCTCTCTCTAGGAGTCCCTGTACTCGTTTGCACTCAAATGCCTCATCAGCCTCTCCACAGCCATCCTGTTGGGTCTGGTCATCCTTTACCATGCTCGGGAAATCCAGGTCAGTGGCCAGCAACTGCACCCCTGTCCCCCGTAAAACCACCTGGCACCCTAACCCTTGATCACTAAAGGACCAATAACCTCCTCATGGGGGATAAAACACCTCCCTAAAAGCATGGAGCTTAGATCCGTCTAAACTGCAATTCCTGTCTGTTCTTCCATTTTCCTTGTTTAAAAAATAAGGTAGGTGAGCTGATGTCCTGGCCTGCAGACCACGTTTGCAGCCCTAGGGAGCTGGTGTTTTAGCACCTGTTCTCCGATCTGCTAGGATCCCGCATCATCAAAAGCAGGTCCGGCTGCTTTGGGCAGGTGTGCCCACCACGGGGCAGACTTCACCGGGAGCTGGTGCAGGGCCTTGGGATGCCAGAGGGTGGCAGGTCTCATGCATGACCTTTGGGTTCTGACTTCTGACCGTGAACCTGGTGGGGCATGGGCTTAGAATTCTACCTGGGTTGTGCCATAAGCAGATGTGCATGGGCACACCTGGCATTGCACACTCAGGAGGGACCCTTGAGTGGGCAGGAAGAAGAGGAGGAGTCAGTAACCGCTGGAAGTAAGTGGCTCTAAAGGTATAGCCCCTGGGGACAGTAGTCTGGGGGGTTCCTCAAACTGTCAAGCCCGAGTCACCACCGGACTCCGCAGATTCATTCATACAGAACCTTTAACTCAGGTCCATAGCAGCATTATTCACAGTCAACAAAATGTGGGAACCACCCAAACGTCAGCAGGTAGTGGACAAACAAAATGTGGTCCATTCCTACAGTAGGTATCTATCACTTAGCCATTAAAAAAAAATCAAAAATTTCTTTTCTCCCAGTTCTGGAGGCTAAAAGGCCAAGATAGGTGCCAGATAGGGTCGGTTTCTCCCAACGCCTCTCTCCTTGGCTCGCAGGCAGCTGCCTCCTCCTGTGTCTGCACATGGCCTGTGTGCACATCCCTCGGGTCTCTTCCTTTACCTGTAAGACACCCACTCACCCTCATGAGCTCACTAACCCTTAATTCCTCTAAACACAGGAAGTTTTGTGTTGCCTAGGTGTGTCGTAGGCTATACCATCGAGGTTTGTGTAATTGCACCTATGACATTCACCTAAGGATGAAATCACCTAAGGGTGCATTTTCAGAAGTATCCCTGTCCTAATCCTGCTTGCCTCAGGGCTCCACCCTCCGGGCCCCAGGAAGGCAGCTTTGCCTTCTGGGCCTGGGGCGGCCTAGTGTCTGTCTTGTCTCACTCAGTGTGATGTTTTCAGGCTCATTCACATGTAATTGTAGAAGGGCTTCCCTCTTTTTTATGGCCGAGTAATATTCTACTGTGTGACTGGTTTACATTGTGTTCATACATTTGTCCACGAAGGGGCGCTTCGGTGGTCCACATTTGGTAGTTGTCACTGGAGCTGCTGCAAACATGCATATGGGAGGATTTGTCCAAACACCTGTAGATGGGGCCTACCACTGACTGGACCTGTTAAGGGATTCATGACTGAGCACCCCAGTAGGATTACTTCATGATGGGGGACACCATCCCATATCTAATTTAATTTCTTGCCAACTCTGAGAGCTAGAGAGTTTTTCACATATGAGGTCCTGTTGCTCAAAAAAAGAAGGCCTGGGATTTCAGGCGGGGGTCTCACTCAAGCGCGGATGTGCAGCTGCGTGTCTGAGACCCACAGCCGCCCCCCCCCACATCCCCTGCAGCTGTTCATGGTGGACAACGGGGCAGATGACTGGCGCATCGCCATGACTTGCGAGCGCGTCTTCCTCATTTCCCTGGAGCTGGCCGTGTGCGCCATCCACCCGGTGCCCGGACACTACCGCTTCACATGGACGGCGCGACTGGCCTTCACCTACACTCCGTCGGCGGCTGAGGCCGACGTGGACGTGCTACTGTCTGTGCCCATGTTCCTGCGTCTCTACCTGCTGGGCCGCGTCATGCTTCTGCACAGCAAGATCTTCACGGATGCCTCCAGCCGCAGCATCGGCGCTCTCAACAAGATCACCTTCAACACCCGCTTCGTCATGAAGACGCTCATGACCATCTGCCCCGGCACCGTGCTGCTCGTGTTCAGCATCTCCTCCTGGGTCATCGCCGCCTGGACCGTGCGTGTCTGCGAGAGGTGCGCCCCAGAGCCTCGACCGCCCTCGCCTCCATGTCGCCCATGACTTCAGTGACCCAGGGCCCCCCTGGCCATGCCTTCCCACCTTCTGGTCCCCAGTCCAGGGGACCCCCGTGCCACCCCACAACCTCAGTGACCCAGGGCATCCCAGCTGTCACTTCTCATCCTCCGACCCCCGTGATCCCCATGTCCCCTTATCCCTAGTACTCCAGACCTGTGTCCCCAGCACCCTCAGCCCCAACTTCAGCCCACAGCCCTCTGGGGCCCCAGTCCACTTCCCCCTGCGGGGGGGGGGGTCTCAGGCTCCTGCTGATTCCTCCATTCTTTGGGTGACCAACCTCTGATGTCAGCTAGGGCAGCAAAGGCAGTAGGAACAGAGACACCACCCATCGGCCTGCCCCACTCCATGTTTAACCTGCTCTCCTTCTCCCTCTGCCCGCCCCACCGGACCATAGGGAAGACATGTGAGTCCCACCCTCCGCTGAGCTATGTGTACAGAGCTGCTGCCACCCTACTGCCCGCCAGGAATTTAAGATTAGCTGCCACGAGGGTGGTTGGGAGGGAGGTGAGGTGGGCAAGGCAGGGGGCTGTGGGGAGGACCCACACCAGTGTGACCACTGGATTTGGGGTCAGGCCAGGACAGCAGGAGGCAGGCAGCTCTTGGGGTTGGGGGAGCTGCCTGTCTCCTAAGTGCAGGAAGCATGGAAAAGGGCTTAGCTCTGGTGTCCTGTTCTGGCAGGGGTGTTGGAGTCTCCTGTAGAGCTTAAGAGGGCCAAGTGAGTAGGAATTGGCTTGCTCTTTAGGACCCCAACTTGGGGTTTGCTCTGAACAGCCCTGCAAAGGGACAGGCTGCCAGCCCAACTTGTAGGTGAAGAAACTGAGGCTTTGAGAGGAAAGGGACTTTCCTGAGGCCTTAGTGTTCCCAGGGTCCCCCAGGGGGCTCCAGCAGCAGGAGGACGGTTCCCTTTGGGCTCTGTAGAGAGGGGAGATACTTTGTCTGGGGGCTTCTATTCTGAGAAGGCCCTGGGCAGTATGTGGTGGGGGTTGCTGGGACTGGCTTCTAGGAGTGGGGTCTGGATCCTTCCGCTTGACCCTATTTTCATTGCTCTAGCCCCTCATGCCTCCCCCTCCCACCCTGGTCTGTCATCAAAGTTTATCATCTGGGGTAAACCACAGAGAGTGTCCTGTGTGCCCTGATGTGTCCCCATCCAGTTCCCACCACCCATCCCCCACCCCTTCAGGGCACAGTCAGGCTGGGGTCTGGGGGAGATGCCAGGGCTAGTCCGGCCAGGTCACCCTGGGTCCTGCCCTGGGGCAGGGCAGCCAATCCTAAATCCTGAGCTCGGTAAAGCTGCTTGAAGCCCCTCTGCCTGCCTTGCTCTGCCCCTGCAGCTCTTGTCTCCCCTCACCCCTCCACTCCTGCATGCCCCCCACTCCGTGGTCCTGGATGGACCTCAGCATCCAACAAAGCTTTAGGTGGCCTGGGGCTCCCTCACCCTCTGCTAGAGGCTCCCCACTTCTCTGGTCTGCCAAGTGTGGAGATCCCATGTCCCAATAGGTGGATGCTGGGGTGATTTGGGGCTCATATGTCTCCATAAAAAATGGGGTTCAGTCCCTGGTTCCTCTCAGCATCCTGGAAGCCCAGACTAGAAGGGCCTGCAATAACAGCCCACCACTTTTGGGATTTCCATCTGCTCCCCATTTTGAGTCCCTAACCCCAGCTCATCTGCCTAAAACAGCACTCTTCTCCCACCTCTCCTTCCCTGCCCCTTTCACCTCCAATCTTAGCCACCCCCAGGTCCAGAGCACCGACCCCTCAGTCCCTCCAGTCCCCCAGCCTGACCTGACTACTGCAGAATTGGTTAGTAGCTGGTGGGTCAGGGGCCCGAGCTAGGCTGTGGTCTGCACAAAATCGTGTCCTGCGCAAGGTGAAGTCTTTCCCCACTCCCCACACTAAATGGTTGTTCTCAGGTCTCTGCCCAGGGCAAATGAGCTGTCCCTTTCACCCCAAAAGAACCCAAGGCCTAGGGGGTGACTAGTGCCTATATATCAAATTCCTTCCCCCAAGTCCTGGGCTCCATCCTGCTAGTCATTTCCCATCTCTCCAGTAGTCCTCCCGCCTCAGGGCCTTGCTGGCTAAGGAAGTTCTTGCTGGCATCTGACCTGAATCTCTGCCTCTCCTCCCTGCCGCTTCTGGTGCCCATGGCCATCCTCGCCCAGTGTGTCTGTATGTCCGTTTGGGGAGGGCAATCATGTGCACATGCGTGGATGCCGGCTCCCTGGGGGCCCCCTCGGCCCCCTAATCTGGGCCCAGTGGGCAGACATCAGGCGGCAGCCTGGGCGCTGGGAGAAGGGAAGTCTGGAAGGGATGTCAGGGAGGAGGGTATGGGCACCCCTGAACCCAGCAGGCTCCTTGCACTCGGGACATCCAGCAGACAGATAGGCCTGGGCCCTGCAGTCCCAGTGCTGATGGAAGGGGGAGTGGGGAGACTTGGGGGGAGGGTGGTAAAGTTGGAGGGACCCGTGTGGACTGACCAGGCCCCACTCTCCCCAGGTACCACGACAAGCAGGAAGTGACCAGCAACTTTTTGGGGGCCATGTGGCTGATCTCCATCACCTTCCTGTCCATCGGCTACGGCGACATGGTGCCGCACACATACTGTGGGAAGGGCGTGTGCCTGCTCACCGGCATCATGGTAAGGGGGCCTGGCGCACGCCCACTGTTGACGAGCACTCAGAGTTCCCCCTGTGGCAGCCCCCCCCACCCCCCCCTTCCCTCTGTGGGAAGTTGCCTGTTGGGTGGCCAGCGCAGATGTGCAGCCACTGCTGTGCCTGCCTGGCCAGAGGCGTGGCCTGCCCTGAGTGAGTGTCATCATTGCCACAGTGTTCTTCAAAGCCTACGTTTGTCTCAGTTCTTGGATTGAGGCTGAGGGGTTTGATGCCCTGTGCCTCAGTGTCCCCCCGTCACCAGTGCCACTTCCTTATCCTCATCTTGTTACAAAGACTAAATGTTCATTTATGTGAAAAACCTAGAGTGTGATGGCCTCACATACCCAGTCAACATCCTCTGGGCTGTGCCATCACAGCCAACTCCTTGTCTTCTGCTAACATTTTAGGATGTCCCAAGCCATCTCATTGAACCCCTATGGTGTAAAGTGTGACTCTGGGAGCCCATACAGCACCCCATCATTCCCAGTCTTTTTCCAGTCTGTCTATAGATCTGGGCAGCCTTAGGTGCCCGGAACCCCTTTACTTTCCCTCCATCCTCAGGATCCCTGTGTGGAATCTTTTTTAAAAAAAGGTTCATTTATTTATGCATGCAAGAACTGGGGTACAGAGATGTGAAGGGTAAAAATATCCACCAGAGGCAGAGTGGAGAGCAGAACAGGCAGATTGATCGAAATACACTGCTGTGGGGAGTAGTTTGAGATGCAGGAGAGGTCTGCTGGGCCATGTGGGTCACCTCCCTGGCTGGGGGATCAAACGTGTGCTGCAGTGGCTGAGGAGTTTCCTAGTGCTGTGCTTTAACCTCTTGCACCACCAGGGAGCCCCCACCCCCCCGTGTGGGATCTCTCCAAGCTTATTTCCTTTCCCCAGAGACTGAGCCATGTTTGAATTATGAATTTCTGTGCATGGTGGGGTACTCCTTTCTGTAACACCCCAGTTCATAACACTTATATTGGTGAGAAAGCAAGTGGTAAACACCCATAGGCCCCAAAGAAGCCAACCTGATGCCACCTCAGAGTCCACCATCTTGGTACAAAGGTGTTTGTTTCTGCAGATGCTATACTACCTCCAATTCCTTTCCTTCTGTAGAGCACAAACCATCTTTTCCAGCTCAGCTAGCCCCTCTCACCGTAGATAAACTGTTCTTGGTTGTCACTGTCTCCCGACACCTGTGCCTCAGCCCCTTTACCTCTATCCCCTCCCATTTGAACACAGGCCTGGGGTTCCATGTTTTCTTCCAACCCCAACCTGAATGTCCCATCTCCCAGCCAGGTAGATACACAGGCCACATCTGAGCCTAACCCCAAGCAAATGAGCTTACAAATGAGCAAAGAAAAGCACTCAGAGTAGGCCAAGTCAAAGCCAGAAAGCCAGGGGTGGAGTGGAAAAAGTGTATTCCCTTTTCTGGCAAGAAGTTCCTTCTAGAAAATTAGTCCTGCAAATGATTCCCTGCCCTGGTCAAAAAAGTGGCCATGCTTAGGCCTCTTTTTTGTCTTTTGCTGTTAATCACAAAGCCAAGTGCCATGAGCTGCATGTGAAGCTGCATGTCTTTTTAGCTACTTCTATTTTCTCACACTTCTTACTAAGCTCTCTTTCAACCTTGCTATGTGTATCCCCTCCAAGTCATTGCCCTTGGACTCTCTTTTCCTTCCGTTGTCTTGCCAACTGTGTAACTTCCAATTCTTGAACTTCAAGTCTCCCAGAGTAGCATTTTCCAAACCTGGCATCATTCACTTGACATGGTCAAGTGTGGATGCTTTGGCCATTCTTTTTCCTTGCTGTGTAGTATTCCACACAGTCATATCTAGCCTGTTTTTTTTTTTTTTTCTTTAGTTGACAGGAGTTTTTCTGAGAATAGGTTCCCTGGCCCTCATAAGGCCCTTATCTCAGTTTCTTGGGGAGGGAGAAGGCTTTGTGCCCATCCTGCTAGGCTTGGCATGTTTGCATCTACACCTATCCAGGAACATCTGAGAATATCCTCACCCTATCTTCTTTCCATCCTGTGCATGCTAGCCACTGAAAGCAGCTAGCCAGTGAGGTGGCAGGGAGAACCTCCAGCCTGGATAAAGCCTCCTTCACCTGTCCCTGCCACTTGCATTCCAGCCACTGAGGCCGATGACACATTTTGTGTGTCGTAGGCTCCCTGGCCCCCAAATCTTATTGACAGGCTCTCTCACCCTTCCTTCCTTGCCCTTTTTGCTGCCTTCCATTCCTACTACTTAGACCTCACCTCCTCCTTGAGCCCTTGCTTGAATGTTTCTGTCTCCCAAGCAGTCCCTGAGCAAACATGGAGCCCTGTCTGGTCTTCTTTCCTAGCAAGAGGACTGGCTGCCATCCTGGCTGTCCTGGGGAGGGTGGTTTTTGACAGCGGGAGCCTATGGGGTAGGGCGTCCCTCCCCTCCATTTCCCACCTCTTGGTACCTCTTCCCTCCAGCAGCTCCCCTGCCCCCCACAGGCAACCAGCATCACTTCCCTCACACTACCCTGCTGTCCTTCTGTCCTGCACCTGGTGCCCCCATTACGGCTCAGCAATGTGTCGGCCAGGTCTCCATCCCCAACATCCAGGCCCCAAGACCTTCACGGGCATTTCTAAACCCACCTCCATGGTTGTCAACCCTCACTATACCTGCAGAGCCTAATCAGTCTCCTGTGCTTTCTGAGATCCCAGCCTCAGTTTCCCTCCCTGCCTAATGGGAATAATAGTTGTCTTATCCACCAGGGTTGTTTGGTACTGAATGAACTCATTTGTAGGACATGCCCCCTGGATGTTCAATAATGTTACGCAGGTGAGGCTGGGAGTCAAAGAACTCAGCAGGTGGGTCTGCTGGAGCTTTGGGTGTGGAGGGCAAAGGCCAGGGTACAATCAGGGAAGACTGCCTGGAGAAGGGAGGGTATCCCACTTGTGACCTGGGACCCAAACATGCAAGATGCTGATGTGTCTCTGACCTGTCTTCCTCACTCAGGGGGCCGGCTGCACGGCACTGGTAGTAGCTGTGGTGGCCCGGAAACTGGAGCTCACTAAGGCCGAGAAGCACGTGCACAACTTCATGATGGACACTCAGCTCACCAAGCGGGTAGGGATGCCAGTCCCCATCAAGGCCCCCTCCCTGCTGTGTTCATTGAGCATAGGCCCTCCCCACCTTCCTGCTGCACATACCAGGCATGCCCCTGTGCCTAGCGGTCTTTGCACTACCCCACGCATGCCAGGGCGGTGCTAGGTGGCACCACCCATGCGAGTCCCTGAGCTTTCACAGAGAGATAAGGCAACGGCCGCAGAGGTCCACCTCTGCTCTGTTATGGCCCAGCCGTGGACATGCATTAAGAGACCAGGCCACCAGAAGCAACTGACAAGCTATCTGACTTGGCAGGGCCACCTTTCTGTGACCTGGTTTCCCCAAGCCTATGAGAGTGATACCAGTAAGTTCACATTTACTGAGTTCACATTTGCAAGGTATGCATAAAGGGCCCAGCCGTGGTAAGGGAGGTGTGTTACGTGCACACACATGTCACAGATATGGATGTACAAACAGCCCTGGCTTACAATCCCAGGATGCCAGAGGGGTGTTTCCAGGATTTTCTGAAGCCTTCCAGGTGCTGAAGAGCTGTTCTTTCCTGGCCCCAGGTAAAAAACGCCGCTGCTAATGTTCTCAGGGAGACGTGGCTCATCTACAAACACACCAGGCTGGTGAAAAAGCCAGACCAAGCCCGGGTTCGGAAACACCAGCGTAAGTTCCTCCAAGCCATCCATCAGTAAGTCCAGTACCTTTCCCACTCACGTTTCTGTGTCCTCCTGGCGCGGAGGCAGCTGTGGTCCTGGGAGGAAACCTAGGGCCAAGGCCAGGCAGCTCTCTGTGGCCTTGTCAATGTCCATCCCGTGTTGGGTGGTCAGTTAGTCAGGGTCTTCAGTTTCAGTGCTGGGTGGGATGGTCTGGAGGCAGATGATATGCCATGAGCAATAGCCCAGGGTAAGGCATACAGACTGCCCAGCATAGGTGGCAGGATGCATGTTTATTCCCTGGGATAACCTGAACTATTTCATTTGGAATTTTGAAGCCATTTACCTTTTTGCTTTGGCTGCAGCTTGCTCTTAATTACATTTTTGGCCAGATCCATGCAATCAAATTAAATCAAATTAATTTCTTCTGTTGACTCTTTGTCCTGAGAATTATTTAATCAAGTGGTTATCATTCTTGACTGCTCTTTGGAGTCACTGGTGGATTTAAAATAAAATCCCACAGACGGCATCAAATACCAGCCACAGTAGAGTCTGGGGAGCAGCCTAGGGGTAGGTTCAAATTTCCCAAGAAGGCCACTGTGCAGCAAGAGTTAGTGAACCTTCTCTGTAAAAGGGCCAAATGGAGAATATCTCAGACTTTACGGACCACACTGTCTTTGCCATTACTGTTCAGTTCTGCTGTTTTAGCAAGAAGACAGCACAGATGAATGAGTTTGGCTATGCACCCATAAAACTTTATTTTCTAAAATAGGTAACTTCCCAGCTTTGGGCTAATGCCCAGAAGATGCCAGTCACTGTCCACCAGAAATGTCATGTGAGCCACCTATGTAATTTAAAATTTTTCTAGTAGCCACATTGAAAAAAAGTAAAAACAAACAAGTGAAATAAATTTTAATCTTTATATAATCCAGTTATCTCTAAAATTGGAACATTTTAACATGTGATTTAATATAGAAACTTACTGACATCTTTTAGAAATTTTTTTGCACTAAATCTTCAAAGTCTAGTTCCTGTTTTACATTTACAATCAACTTAGTGGCCTTAAAGGATGCATGGACAGCATCAGCCTAGAATTTAAACAGTTCAAAACCTGTGGAATGGAGCACTCAAATACAGACCACATTTGAGACACATGCTAACAGGTAGCTGATTTAAAATAGTCAGCAGATGTCTTTAGGATTTTTCAGAATGTGCATGGCTCCCACCTCTCACATCATGGGAAGCCCTGTTCCCAAGAACTTCCAGGTCAGAATCAGCGTCTGATGAGTCAGAGACTCCTCACTGTTCATCAGTGAACAGTGTTAGGAACGGAACCAGTACAGTGGAAAGCAACCAAGCCAGCTATGGGAAACAGCAAGAAGAATCCTTTCTTGTGTGAGTGGCAGATTGGGGTGGCTGGCAGGTAGGAGACCCCAGGGTGTGGCTGGGGCAGCCTAACTCATGGGATGCCAGTAGGTGAAAGATTGTAACCATGGGGAGACTAAGGAAGGGAAATTCGGCCAGTTAGACTTTAAATTTTTTTTTAAAGATTATTTATTCATACAGAACTGGGGTACAGGCCAGAGATGCAGAGGGTGAGAGGCTTCACCAGAGACAGAGTGGGGAGCAGAACAGGCAGATCGACAAAGCACACTGCTGAGGGGAGCAGCGGGCGGGTCAGGAGAGGTCTGCCACACCACGCGGTCACCTCCGGGGCAGGCGGGAATCGAACTCATGCAGAAGTGGCATTAGCTTCCCAGTGCTGTGCTTTAACCCGCTGCGCCACCAGGGAGGGCCTAGACTTTAAATTTTTAACCCTGTTTAATCATTTTGCCTTAAAAAAAGTTTTATTTATATGGAGATACAGTCTACCACACCGACTGAAAGTGTACAATTTGATCAGTTTAAACATATACACACCCGTGAAACTGTCACCAGCCAACGTAATGAACAGATTCATCACCCCAGAAGTTTCCTTGAGCGAGTTTAATCCATTTACATTTAGGATGTTTATTCTTGTCATTGGATTAATCTCATGCCATCAGTTCCTATTTCACAGGACTGTGAGAGTTCAGAATGGGATGGTGTGTAGAACTGCCTGGCATAGCATGGATTGGAGCCTGTGTGCATTCTTGGGTCTGCCACAACAAACTGCCACACAGGTGGAGCGAGCCAAATGTATTGCCTCACAGTTCTGGAGGCCAGAAGTCCGAAATCAAGGTGCCTGTAGGCTCTCTCCCTCTGAAGGCACCAGGGGAGTGTTGTCTTCCGACTTTTCTCCCAGCCTCTGCAGCCCTGGCGACTCCTTGGCTTCTTGCTCCATCCCTCCCATTCTCCAGCTTTGCAGGACTATTTCTCTGTGCCCTAATATCACTTTCCCTTGAGCAAGTCAGGGTCCAGTTATTTCCTTTTGTAAGGAAGCTGTGCATATTGGCATAGGAGTCACTCTAGTGACCTGGCCTAACTTAGTTCCATCTGCAAAGACTGTTTCCAAATGCAGTCCCACTGGACAGACTGGAGGTTAGGACTCAACTTTCAGGGAACTGGATATGCCCCTCATGGGAGGCTGACTTCCCCAGGAAAGTCATCCCAGGGCTCCCCAGGGGGCCTTCACGTCCTCTGCAGAACACTGGCAGCCCTGACCCCTGGCATCAGGGGCATTTATATCATGTTTGTTTCTCCTAACCTCCAGCATGGCTGGCCTCTGGGGGGCCTCTCCTGGCAGCTGTCATGCAGGGGTTGAGTTTGGGCAATTCCTGCCAGAGGTGATTCTCTAGGTGGGTTTATCTATAGAAGAGATGTAAAGGACATGGGAAGACATACCCTGGCCAAAACTCCCATCCTGTACCCCCATGGGCATCTATCCAGGAGGCAGGTATGATTTTGAACCCTGCTGGGGCACCAGTGGGCCCTGTAATTACCCCTCTAAATTACAGTTTCCTCCAGAGAAATGGCATGAGCAGAGTTTTCCGGATGAAACGCCACCTCTGGAACCAGGTTGCAGCACCAGCTGGCACACAGCAGGGCCCCAAAGCCAAGAGCAGCTACCTGTCCCCTAGTGGGCCCAGAAGGAAGGGACAGAGGAGAGATGCCCCTCAGAGGCAGACTCCTCCCCAGAACGAAAGTAGCCCCTGGACCCCAGGCTTTCCAGGACCCCAGCCTGGCCCTGGGGTCACGCATGCAAAAGGCGGGAAGGTTGGGTACATGCCACCCAGCTGTGCTGAAATTAAAATTGTGTTGTGATTTCTCTCTGCTCCGCCTGGTCCTGCCAGAGCTCAGAAGTAAGTTTCTTCTCAGGGCTTAGGGGTGCATGGTGGTTCGGGGCAAGCTCATGGACACCACCCGGCTTTGGGAGGCACCCAGGGTTTGTGTTTGCCTGGATGGCTGGTACCTGCTTCACCTGGGACATCCTGTGGACAGGGCCAGTTGGGGCACATTGTGGGTGTGGCTGACCTAACCCTCCCCTCCCCTCCCCCACCTCTGCATGCATGGAGGAAATGGGCAGCAGGGGCCTGCCAATTCCTACCTCAGCCCCTACTGCATGGCCTGGCAGCACCCTCGGTTAGGGTGGGTGCATGAAGGACCCCGCCCCCTGCTGCCTCCACCCACCCCTGCCTGCCCATGCCCACCTGTCCCCAGGCTCCGGAGTGTGAAGATAGAGCAGGGGAAGCTGAACGACCAGGCCAACACACTCGCCGACCTGGCCAAGGTGAGCAGGGCAGGGTGGTGCTGGGTGGCCCCCTGGGCCAGGGGGGTTGACTGGGCCCTAGGGGAAGGCTGGGGACCTGCAGCAAAGGGTCGTGCCAGCTTCTGCCAGGAGGGGGCAGCACTGGCAGCCACAGGGCAGGCAGGTGACATGGGCCCCGGATATAGGGCAGAGAGACAAGCCACCAGGGACACCAGCCCTGTCTGCAAGGTCCCTGCCACCAGAGGCTCCGGTTACAAGAGATGCTGGAAATCTACGTGTGTGTGTAAAATCTTGACAGTTTTACATTCTACCTCAAAGATCAGTATCTAATATAGATGGTCTAAATCAATAACTACTTAGTGGGAAAAACTGGTAAAGTGTTACTTTTGGTGTTCAGGTATATCACTACCTACAAGCTCTAAAAATTATAAGGAAAAACAAAATTCTTTTGCTATCGATATAAATTCAAATTACAGTATTGGCAAAAAGCTTATATGCAGAGCAATTCAGCATCTTTCAAGAATTCAAAGTTGGTTGCAAGAGCTCTGTAAGAGCTGCTGTAAGTGGGCCTGTTTGTGGGTCCCAATATCAGGTCCTCCACTGTTTCCTGATTTTTTATTCGTCAGAAAAGGTATTAATGGACTCAACTCTAGACACACTTAGAACACTTGCCAGTATTACAAACGGCCTTCTGACCAATGTCGGACCTTTCGGAGACAGATGATATGTGAAGTTTGCTCATTTGACTCCATCCCTACTCAGTCAGTCCGAAGCTAATGTAACATCAGTTAGAAAATATTAACTCCTCCTCTATTTTACTTCTTATGGCCACTGCATCACCAAGATCATGCAATGTAATTTAATATTTGCCTAAATAAATTTTATTTGGATGGGCCAGAACTTTCTAGAACTCTGAAAAATAATTCAATTGGAAATAGAAAGAGCACAACCCTAGAAACATGTAGACATTGCTCACAAATTAATTTCATAGAAATTAGTTGATATGAAATTATCGCTTTTAATGCATTTAAGTAAGGGCTTCCCTGGTGGCACAGGGGTTAGAGGAACAGCACTATCAAGCTGGTGCCAGCCGGGCAGCACTGAGGTGGATCCCTGGCCAGGGGGGCCACCCACATGGCACAGCAGACCTCTCCTGACCCCCGCTGCTCCCCTCAGCAGTGTACTTCATTGATCTGCCTGTCCTGCCCCCCACTCCGTCTTGATGACTCCTCTCACCGCCATCACCACCTCCCCACCGCTAGCTTATTCCCTGGTTCTTGTATACATAAATACATAATTATTTTTTTAAAATATCTCAGAAAAACTCTGACACTAGATGTTGTCATTGAACAGGCCATACCACACTTCCTCCCTTTAGCATAGATGACTGACTTTGAATTTTTTAGTAATTTAAACCTTGTAACCATGGTGGTATAGTCCTTTAAAAATATATTTAACAAAGGCTTCCTTGAAGTCTTTCATTGCATTGGATTTTATGAGTTTCTAACTTTTTTAATTTAACAAAGTTAAAATGTTTTCCAAGGCCACTGGTTTAGTCTCTCTGACCTCTCCTACCCCAAATGCATATGCTAAGTTACAAAGAAAATTTAAACCTCAGAAAAGATGCTGCCAGATGTTGCTCTGGGGATCGTGGCTGCTTGGCAGCTAAACTGTGGCTTACCTCTGGGGGAGGGTTTGCCAGTAACAGAAAGGTGAGGGCCCAGCTGAAGCAAAGCAGAGGCTGGAAGGGAGGCTGGCGGCTCGGCTTGGAGCTCAGGGAAGAGCTGGCGTCAGCACATCCAGAGCCTACTCACAAGTGAGACAGGTGGGGGGTCTTTCAGCGCCTCTTCAGTCCCCCATCAGAGCCCCCAGGCGGCATCCAGCCTTGGGGTCTAAACAGCACTGAGCTGTGTTCTCGCACTACCTGGTGGCGAGAGCAACGACTGCACCCAGGGCTGGCCGGCTCCTGCCTGCGGCCCGTCTGAACAGGGGCGGGGACACCCTGACAGCTGCCAGAACAGTAATTGCTGTAGTTGTCATGTTCATTCTGTGATTGGGTCACGTCCACGGAGAGGCCACCTCTCCCTAAAGACCCTGTCTCTTCCCTAAGCTAATGTGGGGGGTCAAGGTTGCTGCCTTTTACCGTGTCTCTATCCGGGGATAATGGTGACAGCACCACCCAGTGGTTCCTTTTAACCCCTCAGGGGAGTTCTGGCCACCTCCCCCCACCCCAGAACCTCCTTCAGCCTTCCCCAGACCCGTTCAGGTCTCCCTGTCTGTCCCCTCACAATTCTCCTATCATTTCTGGGGTCCAGCAGGAGACCTTTGGGGTCAGAGCCAACTGTCCTCTCTGTGTGTCTTTTCCTTCCTCTGTCTCTGGCAGACCCAGAATGTCATGTACGACCTCATGTCCGAGCTGCACGCCCAGCATGAGGAGCTTGAGGCCCGCCTGGCTGCCCTAGAAAGCCGCTTGGATGCACTGGCTGCCTCTCTGCAGGCCCTGCCCAGCCTCATCGCCCAAGCCATACGCCCGCCCCCACCAGCCCTGCCTCCCCGGCCTGTGCCCGGACCCCCAGACCCGGCAGCCCGGAGCCCCTCATGCCGGTGGCTGCCCATGGCCCCTTCGGACTGCGGGTGACGGCCCTGCCCGCCACCAGACTCCTCAATCTTGGCCATCGTGTGGCCGCCATCTCCACGCCACCCAGGAAGCCCTGTACAGTGGCGCTTCTTGGGGTTCAAGAAGCCAAAGCTGAGTTGGGCTGAGTGGACCGGGCTCGCCCTAACCTGGGCTGTCCAGGCAGAGGGCCAAGGCAGGTTGCCACCTGCTTCCTCCTTGAGTGGAGCCAGGGGAGCCCGGAGCTGCCTCTGGTCCCCCGGCCCCACATCTCTCCCCAGGCCCCCGGTGGGCACACAGCAGCCAGGGGGAGGGGTCCTCATCTGTTCTGAATAAAGCAGGACCCACCAGTTGCTGTGTGGTACATGGTGCACGTAGTCACTCAGGAAGTGACTCCAGACCCAAGGTCTCAGAACAGGTGTGGGTCAAAGGAGCCCACCCTTATCCGAGCTGGTGGTCCCCCAGCCTGAGCTCAGCTGGGGATACCTCCCTGAAGACACCTGTGCTACCCCCACCTGGCACTGACAGGGATACCACAGAGGGCATGGGCCTGGCACACAGGAAACAGCAGATCATCAGAATCTCTTGCCCCTTCTGCCAACTGGCTTTATGGCAGACACCAGCCAGGCCACAGGTCCCTGGCTAGTGGGGGACGTGACATGGACGTGAGAAGGGTCATTTCGTCTCTGTTGGACATGCATTGAGCTCTTGCTATAAACGGTGAATGTAACAAATTCCCTAACTCTTCCCAGAACTCGTCCTGGGATGGGGAGACAGGTACACCTGCGTGCAGCCTCAGAGTGAGGATTGGGGAGCTAGGGTTCAAGCAGGCCCGCTTGGTGGAGCGGGTGGAGCGCTCTTGTGGGGACAGGCATGAGTTGGGGAGGTAGGGCCCATCCTGTGGTTAGGTCCTCTGCGCTGGGCCAGAAGGCTGCAGACACAGTAGGAGCAGAAAGGTCCTTCCAGGGCTGGAGTTGGGTGCTGGGGTCAGTGAGAACAGCAGACATGTCGTGGATGCTGAGGCCTGGTATCAGAGCTAGGCCTGGCTCTGGGAAGACAGATAAGTATGGATCCCTGGGGGCACCCAGGCCCTGGCAGCCTCTGACAAGGCCACCTGGCTCAGGGAGATAGCTTGCACCCAAGAGCCAGGAGGTCTGGAGGGTGCCCATGGGCCACAGTGATCCTTGGGTCCAAGTCAGATTGCCACACCTCGGTGCCTCTGAGCAGTAACTGCATTGCGGGGGCCTCAGTTTCCTCATCTGCGAGACCCTAACAAGTCCTGGTAGGTGCTCTCTCCCACCTGAGGGCTGACACGGGCTGAAGGAGCCCAGACAGGACTTGAGAGACCTCGTCCTAAAATATACCTACCCGGTTGTCCTGAGGTCTGAGAAAGCTGGAGCTGGCCTTTCAGTGTAGGACAGCATGGTGCAGCTCAGGGTGTCTGCAGGCCCCCTCAGTGTAGGAGTGCTAGCATCTGGGCATGGGGGAGGACAGGGCACTGTGCACACCTTTGGGAGCACCCAGGGGGACCTAGAATGACAGTAAACACAGGCACGTCACAAAGACTGCAACTAAAGCCATGAAGAGCTAAACAAGGGCAGAGCCTGAGGAAGGGACCTAAGAGTGACATTTGGGAGTGGGTGGGTGAGAGGGAGGAAGGGCGTTCCTGGTCCGGAACAGCCAGTGCCAAGCAAGCCCTGAGCTGGGTCTGTGTGGGATACCAGGGGGAGAGGTTGGCTTTAGGCCCGAGGTGCCCAGTGGAAGACGAAAGCCACCACAGGACAGACTGCGCGCCGGCCACATCCGCCCCCGCCCGCCTCTGACAAGCACCGACCGGGCAAAAACAGGGCTCGCCCGCGCGGGTGGGTGGCAAAGTCATGATCGCGGGCCGCGGGCCTGGCCGCCTGCCCGGCGCCCGGCGTCACGGGGCGACAGGGAGATGAGGAAGTGCTCCCGACGCCGAGCGCAAGCGAGCAGAGCCGCGCACACGGGAGGGTTGCCCCGGGCGAGCGCGCGGCGGCGCTGCGCATGA